CACCACCGAGCAATTTTGCAAGAAAAACGTGGATCTATTTGTCAGGGTCTTCAATTGGTTAAATACTCATCCAATCAGACTCGCTTGTATAGCAGTAACAAAGAAGAAACTCTCTTCTTTTTGTTTGCGACAAACAAAGTGCATCATGCAAGAAAATAAAGCCAGAAGTCATAATACAAGCTTAAGAAGCCAGATGATTTTGGAATTTTGGAACATAGGGAGCTTAAATCCAATGTTGTGGGCAACTTATCCAAACTTCCTTTTATCAGGGAGTTTTGGTCACCTGTATGGGAGAGTGGGAGATTGGCTCTGTATCCAGGAGAGTTGGTATATATGCAATGTAACCCAGTGATAACTTAAAACAGAAACACATAGCTTGTATAGAGTATGTATGCTTCTGCTTAAAAGGAGTGATATGGGAACATCTAAGTGAAAAAATTTAGAGGTGTGCAAACTACAATCAACTCTTGATAACTCAATGAGATAATCTTGAAGGAAACTGAAAAAGATTGGAGTTATGAGGAATTTCAGACGTATGACCTCTGAGGAGGAGGATATGCATGTTTAATGAATTGTTCTGAGAGTCAGCAAGGGTTTGTGTTTTTGGGAGTTAACTGCATCTGAGTTAAATAAAACTTCTTTAACCTGCAACTTCTTTCAAGCCTTTTCATATCATGAGGAATCTATTTGAAACTCCAACAAAATTGTTCTTGCTTGTACTGCAGTTAGCAAAACAATGTATTGATGTGGTACTGAATCTAGATTGTTACTTATTGCCCTTCAAAACATGTGGCTGCAGATTGTGCAGTTCATACTGGACAACATGTAGCTATAAGATTTGGCCGAGATAATGTATTAAATCCACAATTAATTTCCAACAGGCTCATTTTGAAGAAATCAAGAAAATTGTGGACCAGATGTGGGAAAACCTAAATGAAAACAACAAAAAGGTATAATGACCTCACTGCTCTATTGTATACCCAGTTTTACTGTTTCTCAACAGTCCTTTACCTCATAGTCTGTCTTCTCTTGGGCTGTTAGCTCTAGTCAGGCTCTCTTGTTACTGTGGCTTGTCAACATGTCATAGCTGATGAGCAACTCTTAGTTTGGTGTACTACTTTAGGGTGTGAGTATGTTTTAGAGGCTCAGGTACTAACACTGAAGGGGAACTTGCCTATTTAAACATAGTGCAATAATCTGCACCATGTCCCAGTCACAGGCATTGTCATCACGAATAACTTGTTTATTAAACTAGTTACACTCCATGCAGTCACTGTGGTTTTCATTAAATGTAACTGGCCTTATCAATGAAATAAAGACAGCAGATGTGAGGGTTTCATGGATTTCAAATCACTTGTATTTACCATGTATAGGCTTTGCAAGAGAAAGCACAGCAGGAATATAAAAAATCACAAGAGGAACACCAGGCTAGAAAGTTTTTACAAGAGGTACGGGTGGATATCAAGAAAAACTGTCACAAAGTGTTTTACTGTGATTTTGAATTTTGGTTGAGGCCAGTGTGCCACTGTTATGAGTCATAGAGAGACACTGTTGATTGAGTGAAGTGCCACATATACTGATAGGCACATTCGATTTTTTTTTTTTTGGGTTTTTTTTTTAATAATCCTATTTCTTGGATTGGTAAAAGTGTAGAATATGTTGGTCTGTTAGTTCTTAATTTTACTGCCATCTTTGCTAGTCTAAGGGTTTTCTTTTTCAGATTTCCTATAGAATTATTACGTGCATTACTAGTGTTCTCTGTTCCTTTTAAAACAGGAAGAACCAACTGTAAAACTCAGGAAGATTGACAGAGCAGATTCTATATCATCACCCAGTGTGGGTATACCTGGTACATTGGAACCCAACAAAGACACTTCTGCTGTGGCTGTTGGTAAACCCCTGAGCCGTACTCTAAGTCAGACTCCTATGGCTGGAAAGCCGGTGGCAACCGTACCTCCAATGGCAGCTAATAAGGCACCAACTGGCACAACAACTCAGTCAACAGTCTCTACAAAGGCTAAGGTCAGTGTGCAATGAAGAGAATAATCCCAACTTGGGCATAAATACAATCTTTACAGGAATTGATGATTTTTTTTTTTTTAGTGTGTGGGTGTGTGTGATAACTGGCGCAGTAGCTGTTACGTAGTGGGTTTTGGAAATGGCAGTGTATAATTGAATTTTTAAAGCACATTTGGAGACAGTTTTTAAGTTATTACATTCAAATTCTATATGCTTGGGCATTTTTCATGGAAAGATTATTCCCAAGGTAGTGATTTCTCAAAATTTGTTCTCTTTTGACAGAAGAGCAAAGTTACAGTGAAGCCAATAACTAAGCGAATGTGTCTGTGTGATGGTTGCAACAAGCCAGCGAGTACAACAAAGGAACGTGGCACTCAGTACTGTAGTAATGAGTGTATTGTCAAACACTGCAGGTATAAATCATCAAAT